TTCTCAGATGAAGAAGTACAAATAGGCTATTTATTCTTGAAGAGTGAAATGCTTATTTTCACAACTGGGTCACTAATCTTCATTTTCTGTTCTTCAAAATAGTGCACTAATGGTAGATTTTTTTGAATGTCTTTTGTGCTCATTTGTCTTTTTTCTCTTTTTTGCATCTGTCTCCTGTGGGAGAACTCATTTTGTCTTTTTGTATAACATTTTGTGACTTTTCCTGGTTTACACTTTCAGTGGTTGTAAGATAAATCTCTTTTCTTGTGGTTTTTCATGCAACCATTCTTTACCTGTTATTGTTTATTTGCTTTACTACTCTGTTTGGGGTTACTTTTGGTGATCACAAAGAGGTTCTGTGCATCAGCATTGCCTCACCTTCTTCAGAAAGTCCTGCTCAAGTGCATCCGGTAAATGGTGCCAAGAGGAGCCACGCTATGTTTACCTGTCCACTATTTCAAACATTACTGGGAGCTGGGTGTGTAGCTCGGTGATAGAGTACTTACCTAGCATGTGAAAAGCTCTGGGTTTGATCCCCAACTCTGCAAATAAAGTAATAAAATAAAATAATCAGTGCTGTGCAGGGCATAACTGTTATGCACGATTTATAAGGTTTCACCCATCACTTTTCTTTCTTTCCAGGAGTCTCATTTCATCCTTGAATTCTACTCCTCATCCACACTGAGCAGTCTGAGTTACCATGTACATCTCACAACTGCACACTTTCTCTGTACATCTCAAGTCCGTGTTCCCTGTAGGTGAAACATCCTTCATAGATATAGCTTTCTTTTTCTTCTATGCTCTCGAATCACACTCAACAATGTTGCCAGGTATTTCCTCCAGCTTTAATCTTTGTGATCAGTGAGACTGGTCCCAGCTCTATCCTCTAAAACAGGGCTTCTTGTCTTTGTGAACAACTAAGGGCACACTTTTGGGTTTTTCTGGCAGGTTTCTATCGTTATCTGTTGCGTGATTATGTTTAACCCTATTGCATTACCATCATTCATCGGGTAGGAATAGTAATTTTCAGTATCAGAGTTAAGTTTCCTGAGTATAGTAGGTAGAGAAAAAACTGATTCACTGAAATTAGAACTGTGTTGATAATTATTTAGTCCATTGGATTTGTTTTATGGTGGACCTCAGTAAAACTCCACCACCAAGAAACTAACAGTAAGTATTGTGGAGTCTCTGGCCAGTAGTATTGATTGGCACTATAGTAGAATGCCTGATTAAACAGAAGATATTTCTACAGGCACCTTGATCTAACCAACTCCCCAATAAAAAGAAGGAAAAAAAATCTCAAGGGATAAAACTGGTGTCAACTTTTAGTAACAGCACTGATCTTTATGTTCTGTGATATTTGTTATATTTTTCTCATTGCATTACAAATCATTCTGAGATTAATCTTCGATCTTCTTTTACCTGATGATCTTTGAGAGGAAAGTTAAAAGCAGTGAATGAGGGAGTATGCAGTTTTAAGGAAGTAGAAAATTGCTCTAGCAGAGAAATTAAGGTAAATAAAAATCTTTACTTTTTAAACTCAAATGTTTATTCTAAATTCAATAGACTATTGCTAAGCTCTCCCTTTTAAAAGATATGCCATCTAATCACATCTAACATTAACTTTATCTTTTAATTGTTTATAGTAAATGAAACACCATTGGTACTTATCATTAGGAGTTTTATGAATGTGGTTGGATTGCTTACGGAATTTAATTAAGCTTTGATTCTCATGCATTCCTTCTGGCCTAATAAGTTTGAGCCCTCTCTAACCTCTCAGGGAATTTCTTGGGTAGAAAAATCTTCTAGGAAATCAGTGTGGAGGAATAGATCCAGAGGTATTTTTATTTCCCTTGAAAGATTTATCTGCACTTTTACCATATTTGTTATCCGCTTTAACTTGAATGAGAGCTGTTCCAGGAAAATCCCATTAACATAATTTCCAAAAGTTGATAACCTGTATAGTTCACACAAAAGAAAAAGAGCAGACACAGCAACTGAATTATGTGTATAATGGAAGTTTTGCTAACTTAGGCTGTTTCTTGCAAGTGAATGGACAAATACAACTGGGTACAGAGAGGCATTTAAAAAATTTAAAAGGAAATTAAATTAAGGCATTGTAGAAGTAGAATAATGGTTCCCTAGAGATAGCAATGTCCTAATTATCAAAATCTGTAAAGGTGTTTTGTTATATCTCAAGTTAGGGTGTTAAGATTGTAGGTGGAGGGGCCAGGGATTTAGCTCAGCGGCATAAGTGCCTGCCTTGCAAGCAGGCAGTCGTGAGTTCGATCCCTGGTATCGATAAAAATGAAAAAAGACAAAAAAAAAAAAAAAAAAAAAACCAACTTAAGATTGTAGGTGGAATTAAGGTTGCTAATTAGCTGACCTTTGTAGAAAGCGATTCCCCTGATTTTACTCAGGTGGTCCCAGTGTAGTCACAAGAATCTCACATGTTTTATAAAACAAAGCTGATTGGCTCTACAAGCTGCATTCTCCATGGGGGGCTTCGGAGAGCAAGAGGTCATGCTTACTCCCTGATCTAAGCAACTTTCTGTTACAGCTAATAAAATATAATTACAGTAATAATTACATGTTGCTTGTGGATATTTGGTACAATAGCAATAGGAAACAAATACAGGCACATTCATATGATATAATACTATACAATCATTAAAAATAATTCAGAAACACTAAGTGATGCAGCAAATATTTATGCTATTTGGTTAAGTTAGAGTAGTAAATGAAAAAAAACACACGGTAAAATCAAACATAAAATATTTTACATGTATTTTAGATATCTGAAGATTCATATATTTTAGATAAAATCTGAAGCTTCATATATTTTAGATAAAATCTTTATGGATTCTGAATATTTATTCTTTTTTATATATTTCACATTTCTTTGGTAATCAGAAAAAATATAAATGCCAAACATGATTGACATTAAAACTGGAAATAGCTTGCTGTATCAGAACTACTCTAAATCCTTCAAAATATCTGAAGACGTGAGCTTCTGTTAGTTCAGACTAGATTCTTACTTTAGCAAATTTCCGTATCCCCAACGTGCTTTAATAGATAAATAATTTTTAATGCACATCTTCTTTATTTTTGGAAATTTTTTCTTTGAACTACAACCTGAAACCTGATCCATTTGAATTTTGAAAGTACTTTTTTGGACATATAAAGATCAGTCTGGATGATGTCTGTATTCATGGAGTCAGGATTAATAACGCAGTTTCTCTTTATGGGTTTAACAAGATAATCCCTTTTAATCTCTCCTTACAAGATTCCACACTGGCACCCACTGTCGTTCAAAAGTCACTGTGTCTCCCGTCATGCTATGAGTATTTGATTTTCATTAGTGGTGAGTTTTATTGTTGCTTTTTTTATTTGCAGAGAAAATAACTTGGAGGAAATTAAAACTTCATAACCGATTATCTCTGTGTTTAGTTAACTATTTTAATAAGTAACTGTGATATATTTTCATAAATAAAACTGCTAAAATTTAGTATAAAAGCCTGTATCCGAGTCATAGCCCAGGATGCGATGATTCTGTACCTGGGAAACAGCAGATGATATAACCAGTAGGGAGAGGCATCAGGTGTGTTTGGGTTCAAATGAAGCTTCCACTCTCACTGTCTCTGCAGTTTCCACAAAGTCTTCTTCTTATTCCTTCCCCTCCTCTCCCCTCCCCTCCTGTCTCTCCCCTCCCCTTCCCTCCTCTCCTCTGCTCTCCTCTCTTCTCCCCTGCCATCCTCTCCCCTCTCCTCCTATCCTTTCCTCTCCTCCTCTCCCCTTTCCTCTTATCCCTCCCCTCTCCTCCTCTCTCCTGTCCTGTCCCCTGCTCCCTCTCTCCTCCCCTTGCCTCCCTCCTCCCTCCTGTGTCTTACTGGCCTCTTCCCACCCCTCCACTACCCTCCTTTCTTCCTCCCTCCCCTTCCCTCTCCCCTCTCTATTTCTCTGTTTCTCTCTCTCCTTTCATTTTTCTGCAGTACTAGGTACTAAACTGAGGTCCTATTCATTGTGCTCCATCCCTAGCCTTTAAAAAAAATTGAGACAAGTCTCCTTAAATTGCTCAATTGCAGGCTCTTTCTGAGCCCATTTTGTAGAATGGAAAGAAACTGTCAATATCGTAAGGTTATCTTCAGAAGTAAAGGAATCAGAATGCCTTTCTTTGTATAAGTAACCAACGTTCTGTGGCTACCATTAACCTTACATCCTTTTTAACTAGCATTTTTTTTATTGAGCTACACCATGTAAGAAGTTTCCAGTGACTGCTTGCATCCTATATGACTATTTCAAAGAATACTTTCTAATATGGTAAAGAAATACTATACATAACAAGAAACTGGCTGAAGGGACAGAAACTTCTGGCTCTTCTGTCAATGACAGATTTCCATTGCCCCTTTTCAATGAGAATATGAATCTTCACTCAGTTTCTCTGAAGTATTTACAGACAGCTGTGATGCCTTTGTGCTTCTATGACAGAGTGTAAAATAAGATCAGGCTGTTCTTCGAGTCCAGGTCACAAAGGAAAGGGAAAATTGGTATTTCATTTTGACCTCTGTGCTCTCTCAGGGAAATGAGAGTATCAGGGCCATCATTCTTTCAGATCAAAGTAGAAGAACCAAAAGACGTTGAGGAATTTGGCCCTCCGTGAATAGCTTAGGGAGTTACAATGGAGATAAAATGGAATGAAACAGAGCGCTTTGCTGGAATTTATCTGCTGTATTCCATTTGCTTCCTTACCATGTTTAAGTATTATGATCTGTATAATAAACTCAAGCTTGCATGTTAATTTATGAGATGGAAATTATGTCAAAGGCTTTAAATACTATTCCAACTCCCTCCCAAGTAAAATACAGGTACTTTTAAAAACAATGCAAGCTTCTCTTTAAGTCAGGAAGAATGGAAATAACTAGGTTACTCCTGAAAACACGAGGAATAAAAGATAACAAATACATTCTTAAATTAGATTTAAAGAATCACATGAAGTAACATTGGGAGACTAATTTTCTTTACTCTTTCTTAGAATAATAAGTAATTTGTTAGACTGAATGTGGAGGCTCTAGGGAATCTTGGAGAAATAAGTTTGAAGTCTCCAATCTGCTCATTGTTTGCACAAAATAGCATTTCAAATTTTAAACCATTAAAAATTAACTATCATATTATTCAGAAAGTTTATAAGGTTTCACAATCATTGTTTAACACAGAAATCTGTTTATTAAAACAAAACAAAACAGAAAATTATACCAGCCCTCAATTTTTGATTTTTCATTTAAATAAGCAAACTCTAAATCCACACCTTAAAAGATGTTTGTGCATCTATGTATTTCCAAAATACTCATATTTCAATAAGATTTTCACATTATATTCACCAACAGTATCACAAAAGTTCTTTTTTTGTTTTTGAATTTTTTGTTTACATAACTGTAAGGAATAGTAATTCTAGAAACACTAGAAGAAAAAAAGCATAGCAATGTCCACAGTTACAAGAAAAAGTGCACATTACTTGGTCACAATCACAGTCATTACTTGAAAAACTATATGTAACAAGTAGATAAGAAATATCACTGATGCCTTCAACTCATGGTCAAAAACTGAATGACATAAATTTTACATGAAATAAGGCAAATTCAGGAATGCACAAAAAATTTGTAATCCAACCAAAGCTCATCGACCAAAATAAATAATTATACAAGAAGTATGAACTAAAGTACTTCTTCCTAAATATTTTAAAATAGGCTTGCCTCAGTGCACAAAGAAAACACCACTCATGTGTACCCAACACTGGAAAAGAAGAAAGAAGGGCAAAGGATGGAGAAAGGAGGGAAGAGTTCATTGAAAGTTGCAGCTGCATCTGCTGAGAGTTCTTCATTTTTAGCTAAAATTGCAAATTATACAAATCGTACCAGAAGACATAACGGTCTTTTTGGAAATATTTCTGAAAGAGAAAAATGAAAAGAAAAACTACACGCAAGAGTGCAAATTTTCAGATTGTCACTTGCAATGTCTTAACATTCAGTCATCTACATCCAATTGCTGCTAGAGGGATGCTTGTAAGACAGCAGCGGCAATCAGGAGTGAGCAGCTCTAAAGGAACCAAAGTGGGGATTTTTTTCAGCGTGAACATTAAAAATATCCTGTGATGAAAACTGCTATGGTAAAGCTGCAATATGGAGTGGACTTTTTTTTTTTTTTTTTTTTTTTGAGACCAGTATTAGTGCAGAATCGCAGGCTTCTCTTGGAAGTAGTTCCTGATGTGACGATTTAAAGAACGGAGGCAAGGGTTTTTCCAGCATCAAGTGTTATTTTTTTGTAGAAAGAATTTGGAAAGAGGAGAAGGCAAAGGGATGTGGAAAAAGTACTTACAGTAGTTTCTCAAAACAGTTTTCTTTTAGGACCTATGAAAAATTTACCAAAGTAAAAATGACAATTCTGAATGAAAAACAAGTTTTCTTTCTATAAAAATTACATATTTTTTTAAAATACAAGATCCTTTTCATGGTTGTTATATTCTGTAGCAACAATAATTTGGCTTTTTTTTTTTAAACCAGGTAATTCAGATTTCAGTCCAATGAGTCAGTAGCAAATTCCACTAATGTTTCAGTTGGATCTTGAACTATTTTTTAATACCACAAGCTTCTTCGGTTTTATCCTTGAGTTAAGAATACGCAGCCTTGTTTGCCCATGATATTTATGCTGACACACTAAAACAAAAAGCAATGGGCTGGGCACAATTAAGTATCGCAAGTACTTCAGAGGTCAGAGTTCCTTTGAAGCACCTTAACACATCACTTTATGGATCAGAGACAATGTGGCAAATGGAAGTATTTCTCTTAAAAGATTGTGCAGTAGGACCAGAAGTAGCTCTGCTGGGAAATCAAAATGTCATTAGTGGAAACTGCAAATTTATAACTCAGTGAATACGGTCATCATTTGACTCAGTTCTGTTGCAAAATGAGATTTTCCAGTTCATCTGCAGAACGCAATAAAAATGCAGCTGATTCTCGATATCCTGCAACAAGCTGTCTCACAGCATTGATTTCAGTTGGACTCAGCTGGGGTCTGGAGCTTGAACTGCTAGACGATCCCGAGCTAGTCGCCAACTGCCTCTTCATGCTGAGATCGGTGGGTCCTAAGAAAAAAGAAAACACAGGATTAGATATGGATAATATTTGTTCTAACACCTTGGACATGAGCACTCACCAGCTACTGTCAAATTAATTCATGAATTCTTTCATGAGAAGCTAACGATGTCTTTAATGAAATTCATCTGTCCTTAGGAGACTAAACAGCAAGATGCTATATAAGTGGCAGGGGAAATTTTTACAGGTGCTTTGCACAGCCTCTAGCAATCACTTCTTATTATATATAAATAGCAATGGACTTTGTGTGCTCTTTAGAAAATTGAATTTTCAGTCAATCTTCTGCTTTGCAGAAGCTTCTCCATGCCAGCATAAAATGATGGAAATCACACACACAAAAATTTTTTTGCTGCATTTGTTAATAGACATTTTAAATCTCACCAATTCAGAATTTTCAAAACATCTCAGATTGTGATTCTCATGACTCTTTAGTATAGACTCAATGTCAAAAGGACTGGGGCACTTTGACAACATGTTTAGAGTCACATAATTTTTAAGTGATAGCATAAGGACTTTACTAATGTTTCACTGCAAGGTGGTGTTATTTTACACTAGGGTGATGAATATTAAAAAAAAACTGTGCACATAGTGGATTGAAAGTTTCTTTAGAAGGGTAAAAAAGCGAACAGTTATTGCAAATAACACTATAGAGAAACTATAAGCATTTAGAATCCTGTTTTATGCATTGTTAAACTATCCTTTGTAGTTACCTAAGACACATTACCCAAACTTTTTAAATTTATACTGTATTGAAACCAAGTCTGGTATTTCTACTTTTGGAGAATTTATAAATTTTTATTAAAAATTAAGAAAAATTAACAGTTATTTAAAAATCTTAGATTTGTGTTGAGATGATTCTTCAGATCAATCACTTTTAGATTTTTGATTGGATTATCACATAAAGTGATCATTTTTGTAATTCTCACCTTTCATTAAGTATTTGGTACAATTATTAAATTTGTAAACATGTGTTACCTTAAAAATTCTTGATAAATGTTACTAAACATATAACTAATCACATATTCCCAGACTGTAATGATTTCATGATTTATGCATGATTTATATTTTTTCCCTAAATATGTGTAACATTTCAGACACTGCTTTTTATTCTTTGAACTAAAACAGGAGATGTTACCGTCTTTTCTGGTACTCCTTGAGGCAGGGTGGAACAGGTCAAGACTCAAGTCCCTCAACTCTCTACCCAGAAGGAGGCAGATGTCCCAAAGGAGGGAAATAGCTTCTCTTGGAATTTAATTAGAGGAGAGACAACACTGGCACACAAGAACTCTGACACCTGAGAGAAAGTGATTTCCACTTCTGTAGTGGCCTTTCAATGCTTTGATTTTTTTAGCACGAGTTATCTTCCATTTGCTCTGCTATTTACAAAATCATGCTATTGACATGACAAACTAAGAGCATATGGGGATTTCACACTGGCAAAAAGGAATTACTGAATCCATGTTCAAGTAAATCATTAATATTGCCTAATATATTTCAAAAGATCTCAGTTGATTTTTACAAAGCCTCATGGTATAGCAGGTGTTCTGGCCTCTGGATGAACACACATTAAATTTTGTTTTGTTTTTTCCCATTTTAGAAGCCAGTGACAATACAAATATTTATGAAAAATTTTCTTCCAGTATGTAGATGTTTAGTGTTGACTTGCCAATTAGCACGATTTTATGAAGAGGTGCAAAATTTGTGATTTTGATAGCAATCCTGGTTATTGAATGGCAGTTTAAACTGGAATTGAGAAAAGATTGAAAACCAGGGTTCTAGTTCTTTTGGGAGTAAAGGAAGCTGACTTGATTCTCAGGCTACAGTTGTAAGCATGGCTCCGGACCTCTGGCTCAGGATTCCAACAAACCTAGACACAGCTCCTGCTTTCTTTCAAATGTTGATTAGCATATGCAGATTTTAGGCAGCTCTGCTATTTTTATCTTCTCTGGAAGAAAAGGTGAATTTATTACTTTTGGTTTCTTTTGGATCTTGGGACCAGAATTGTGTATAATTTAAACTACAAGGTATCCTTTTTGCTAAATATTTATTATTCAAAGTTCAATGTTGCGTAGTTGGAGAGGGAAGTGAAAATCAATTCATCAATCCATCAATCAAAAATATTCACAAATACACAAATCATTTAATTTGTGACTATTCACTCTAAAAGCTCTGATTGTCACTAGCATTCTTTTCTGCCTCACTGAGTTAATATCATACTTGACTGATTTGGCTTAACTAACTCAAAACAACAAAATGAATTAATTAGAATACAAATCAATTGTAAAGTAAAATTAAACTTTGATGAACATGCTAGATTTAATGAATCCAGAGAAATATTTTTGGAAACAAGGCCACTGAGAAGAATGGCTATGAAAGCTTGGAACATTAGCAAGAGAGTGGCCAGTGATAATATCATCAAAAAAATGCTTCCAAACAAAATGATTTCAGTATCAATGTTAAGGCACACTTGCATAAAATTTGGTGTTATGCACCAAATTGCACCTAGATATTTCCCCTAATCCTCATATACTCACAGCTGGGGCTTTATGGAGGTGGCTGGATCTAGGGTGCTTGAACATGGATTATGGGCATGATAAGTAAATCAGTCCAGAGAGTGCTTTAGCAATGTTCTGGGTGTGGATATTGGGAAGGCCCACCCAGGCTGTGGGTGGCACCACCTAAACGGCTTGTAGCCTGAATGGGACAACAGGCAAAGAGAGACTGGCTGTTTGTTGTCTGCTGCTGCTGCTGCTGCTGCTTCCTGACTGCCCTGCCATGGACTGTTTCTCCTCTGCTGTGCCCCTGCTTTGGAGTCATCTGACCATGGACTGAACCTCTAACAGCGTGAGCTTTCCTTCTTTAACTTGTGGGTATTGGGTATTTTGTCCCAGTAATAAGAAAGTGACTAAGATACTTGCCTGATAAGACACTTGTTATATAAGCACCTACATTTTTATCCAAGCTACACAGACTAATTTTTATAATCATTCTGAATGTTGAATGAGAGGTTAAAAGATAATTTATGCTAGCATATAATATTAAAAAAATTAAGACCTATGCATCAGAATGAAACCTGGATTCAATTTTTAAAGGGTTGGGCACATTTAAGTTAAGCATTGGTTAAATGAAAATATATATTTGTGTTTCTCAATTTTGTTTTCCAAGTTAAATCATCAGTGAAATGTTTTCTCTCTACTTATGGTAAATTTTTTGTCCTATTTTTTTTCAAAAATTCATTTTTGTAGCCATATTTTAGATAATAGGACCCGCTTAGGACAAAGTTTTGTTTGCATGCTATGGTATAAATTCTATTTTTAAAGAGACTGGTAACTCCTTTTATGAATCAGAATTTATACTGAGGGTAAGAATTCAAATCACCCTCTCCAAAATTCAAATATTATAAAGAGATGCTTCATTTACATCTTATTTAACATATTGCTTTAGGTATCTATGTTGATGTCTGGCACAAAGTGTGCAAAGAATATATGTAAACGGCTAAGAAGTGCTAGAGTTTTTTCTACAGCCAAGCTTGAAATGATGTCATTAATAACACCTAATGACAGTTAAAAGAAAACTAGCCAGACATAGAACACAGTGGCTTGAATATAACTAATTCAAGTATGATTGTAATATATGGATACCTGAAAATTCATTGAGCAATTTAAATTAAATTAACAACATTTTCAGACTCGTGCTTTAATACAGTTAGCAAACTTTCAAAAGAAAATTAGTAAATATTAAAGATAGTAAAAGCAGACCTTATCTCAGGTATTGTAGGCCAAGGCACAACTGCACATATTATGTAGGGACTTACATAAAAAGAGAGAGCAAACATAGCCAGTCACAGTGGTGCATGCCAGTAATCTTGGCGCTCTGGGAGGATGAAGCAAGAGGATCATAAACTGGAGCCAGTCTAAGCAACTTAGTGACTTGGTAAGACACTGATTCAAAATAAAAAATAGAAAAGGCCTGGGGATGTATTCAGCTTAGTGTGAAGGCCTTGGGTTCAATTTCCAGGAAGGGAGGATTTATACAAATTTTTAATGGAGAAAAGATCTATGAAAGAAGAAAATAATGCTACAAAGTTCTTTTCTTGGAGGGGATGAACAAATGGTTTGCTTAATGGGGGTTTAGAGTTAGCATTTCCTTTCATCAAAATCAGTTGCCAATGTTCATCCTTTAATGCAAATCTGTATTGTGACTTTATGTGTTTCAACCGTGTAACTGTCTCTTTATGCAGAAAATTAATTCCAAATAGAGATGTCTGGTCACAAGCATATGATTTTCAGTGAACATATTTATTATTTGGAAGGCATTTGTAAAATTGTATGAGTCTTCTGTTGAAAATTTCTTTTAGCAGGTTAATATACTGAAGATTAATTATTTCCAATTGCAGATTAAGGTAGAAACTCCTTACCGAAAAGTAAAAGGAAGTTAAGAGATAGAATTCCCTCTGTAGTATGTGCTCTGGGGCCTGTAGTATGTGCTCAATAAATATATCCAGGAACGATTGCTTCATTTTATGAAGTTTTGATGGTAGAGACAGTTCATAATGTAACTTGCCATTACTTATGATCCGAACAATATTGGTCACCATCAAATTGTTTTGCCTTATAATTTTAGATTAGATTGATCAAGAAACATTGCCAATTCTGCAGCAAACAGTAACTTCCAATCCATTTAGTGTGTAGTAATTATGCTGAGAGCTCTTCTTGTTCAGGAAATTTTCAATGATAGCTTTGTTCTGAACAAATTTTCTAAAAATTTTATCATGACACATCAAGGTGCTGTGTGGTAGGAAAGTCAGGATATTGAAATTCTGTTTCTGACAATATCTCATGAAACCAGAGAGGACTAAATTGATAACATTAAATAAAGTTTAAATACATGGAAAAATCAAATGTATTCCATAATGGTCCTGCTGATAGCTACTGTGATTCACACATCTTAGCATATTTGACGTTAGATTATACTGAATTAGTTTTTTCCC